TTGCTTTCCGCATCTTTCCGCCATAGGTTTCACCCACTGGAAGCTCGTTGCACTCTTTCCAACAACGCAGAGACAAGAACAAACCTCTATACATATACACACCAGCAAAGAAGTTTCCATGTCCATCTCAACGCAACAAACAATGGTCTCTTTGATTCTCTGACAAACAGCTTTGCAACAATTCAGTATATAGTTCACGACTCATGTTCCAGCCCTCAATGTGCAATGGGACGCTAGCTGTGGGGTCCAGCTAGCTGGGGAGGTGGGCTATAGATAGAAAGTCTATATTGCTTCTATTGTCGACTCCTCACCACCCCCGTTCGGCCCCCTTCAGACAACTGTCCTTCGCAAGGTGAGAAGCCTTCACCGGCCTCACCACGCTTTTCAAGGCTGGCGGATTCAAAGGGGGCAAGCGATGCTCTCAGAATGGAGTGAAGCTTTACAGATTTCAAGGTCTTCACACCTCATCGTGTGACTAAAAGAAGCAACCGACATGTATACGTTAGAGTGGAATTCAACACCGAACGAAATAGAAGTTTCAAAGTGTCGCCTTCACCTCTTCAATCGTCTACCTTTCATACCTCAAGAGAACCTGGCAACTGTCTTTGTGTCTCGCTCCTGTGTGACGATGGGAAAGCGGACCGATTGCGACGCTAAGTCCAAGCGCCAGACCCTCTATGCGATCAAGCAGACACCAGATGAGATCGCCTCGGGTGTAGAACCAAGGACCAGCAAGGAGAAGCACCGCTTCACAATCATGAATGGGTTGAAAAAGATCCGAGCCCCCAAGGCAGGATCTTCATAGGGGTGATATGTTGTGTTGTGGTTCTGAATTGTGGCCACCCTAAATGAGCTGGAAGCTACTACAATGAGAAGAATCAGGCCATTAAACTTCCCCCCCCAGGTCATTGCAGTCCTTGCCTCGCTAGTGTTTGCTCTCCCTGGACTCTACTAGGATTCCAAGCTTCACCATTGCGAGTTATTTGCTGGGCGCGCCGCTGTCACAATGGCAGAGCGGGAGGATGGGTTGGGGGTCAAGAAAAAGAGATTGTTTCATCTTAAGAATTGTTTTCACATCAGCCTCAAAAGATATCGACTGAACCAGTCCCAGCATCGTGGGCTTTAGGAGGGCCGAACGTGCGCTGCCTTCGACTACACGTATGACAACGTCTTCCACGACATGAATGGCCCAGAGGGCTTCACCCATGCACTCTACCAGGTGATGCGACTGGAGCCAGGGTCTTTTTTGACTCTGGCTCCAGTCTGCTCAACGTGGGTGTTTATGTTCCTTGGAATGTTTAACAACTTCAGATTGGTTGCGCCAAGGGTCAATGGTCCAAGGGTTAACAACTTTATGCTCCTTTACATGCCCAAGGGTCTGGGGTGCGTCCATGTTTATGGGAGTTTGAGGGGGGGGAAAAAAGTGAGGAGATGATCAACCACTGCCTGGCCCCCCAGCTTGGCCACCATACACTCACAGGTCGAGAGGGAGCACCGGGCGCTCCAAAGCCTTTCCGCTTGGCAAGCAGTCGGCTCCCTCCGTCGAAGCCGGAAACTGCATGGTTGCTCGCTGCGCAATCCTCCTTCTATTGGCAGCAGCGAAAGGGGTCTGGTTCTGCTTAGAGCAGCCAAGAGGATCTCTGTTGGAGTTTCACCCATTGATCCCATCAGTCCTAAAGCTCATCAAGGTCTTTCGTGTCCATATCAGGATGTCGGACTACGCTGCGGCTTCCGAAAAAGGAACATGGCTATATTCCAGTACCTCTCCTTAGAATTGAAGCCTTTTGGGGTGCCCTTTTTGCGCTCCATAAACCTTTGTGTAGCGACAGAAAAGGGCACCCCCAAAAGATACATTTATTTGCCATTGTTGGGCTGTTGCTCTTGAAATTGTGTTGGAATGTCCTTTTCTAGAGACACACTTCAATCACTGAGACCGCAAAGAGATTGAAGACATCGTGGATTACAAACCCGTCCATGTTCCACTTCGTCGCAAGCGGGAGCTTGTGATCAAGTACAGGGACCACGCTGGAAAATGGAGGGTCAAGGGATCCAAGAACCTCAAGAATTCTCAAGAGTATACGATTCAGTGCTTTGTTCAAACAATGTCGCACATTTTTCTATTCAAGAAGGCCTAAGAGGTTTTGTGGCGGGGTTGGCGCGACAATTGTCTATGAGCTCACCCACAATCCATCGAAGACATCACAGTTTAGGGATATACAAAATTAAAACAAAGGGTTCTTGGGGTCCAAGCTCGCAGCCGTCCCAGATTTGGGCGCGCCCTGGCGCGTCTGCGCACCTCCAACCAGAAGAAAGTGCTTCGCGATGCTCGCAAGTTCCTGACGGAAGCTGCCGCTGACACTACCGGTAGTGTTGGCAAAGCTAGCCAGTGCTCCAAGGAGTTCAGCCGCTGGGTGAAGGGGGCCAAATTAGACCCTGTTTTTGCTTACCTCACAGAATGATGAGGAAGGTTGCTATGTAATTCCTAATGACCTCCAATTTCAAGGGGTTGCAATGTGGTCCTGGTGATTTAGCCACGTTGCTGTCTGATACTTAGGGTGACATCTCAATGCCGGGCGTGGAAAAGAAATGCATATGGATGGAGAGGGTTTCTATACCTGCGTACCAGCTCCCAAACACATTTGAGTTGAAACTGTTGAAACTGGTGGTTGCCAGGCGCTCGATGCCAAAAATCGTGTTGAAGAACTTGGTCAAACGAGGCGCGGCCGGTGCAATTCGAAAAGTTTTCAACTGGATACTTTCTCCCCAAAACCCACCAACATGTGTCCTGAAAAAGCCGCGTGAGGGCGAGAAAAAGCCGCGTAAGGGCGAGAAAAGCCGCGTAAGGGCGAGAAGTCGTTTGGGGGCAGGGTTTGACAAGTTCTGTTGACATAGAAACGGAAGTCTTTGTGTTTTCTCGCAGTGCAGCCACTGACTTTTAAGCTGTAAGCGCTGCTGCCATACTGCCACGGCATGGGCAAGTCAGCAGCCAAGAAGCCAGAGAAGTTGAAAAAAGTCAAAGAAGTGAAAACTAAGTCAAAGTGTGGAAAGCCAGAGGCTTCAAGGCCACCTCCAAGGCCACCTGCGCTTCGGGTGAATGGCAAGAGCCCTGCATCTGCAGGTGACGATACCCGCAGGGTGACTTTCGACCATACCAGGCCAACAAGAGTAACAAGAAACAAGGAAAGCGAGGAAGCCAAGAAGGTGGAAAAGAAGAAGGAAAAGAAAAACGCAGAGAAGAAAGAGAAAAAGAAGGAGGTTCAGAAGCACGACAAGAAGCAGGACAGGAATGACAAGAGAACAGAGGCTAAGAGTGAAAAGAAAGAGAAAAAGGAGCGTAAGAAAGAGAAAAAGGAGCGTGAGAAGAAGGAGGCAAAGGAAGTGAAAGATAAGGAGAAGAAGGAAGAACCCAACAAGAAGGAGGAGGTTGAGGGACCAAAGGAAGTGAAAGGTAATGAGAAGAAGGAAAAGCCCAACAAGAAGGAGGAGGTTGAGGGAGCAAAGCAAAAGACAAGTAGGGAGAAAGACAGGCAGGTGGAGAAGGAAGCAAAGAAGAAAGAGGAAGCCGATGGCAAAAGAAAGTCAAAGACAGACAAGAAGAAGGAGAAAGAGAGCGGCAACAACGGGAAGGAACCTGAGGAGGAAAAGCATGAGAAGGAGAAGGAGGGGAAGAGGAAGAGTGGGAAAGACAAGAAGCTCCAGGAGACAGCAGCCTCAAAGGAAAAGAAGAATGATGTACGCGTAGAGCTGCCTGACTTTGATGAACTCACCCGTCTTTTGGAGGAGCAGATGGATGAGTATGAGGCTGAGCCCGAAGAGAGTGAGGGAGAAGAGGGCGAGGAGTCGGAGGAGGAAGAACAATCAGAGGGAGATGCAGAAGAAGCAGAAGAAGAAGAAGAGGCAGAGCAGGAGGCAGAAGGGAAGGAAGACATGAAGGAAGAGGAAAACGAAGATGAGAAAGTGAAGAAGGAAGAGGAGGAAGAGGAAGGAAGTGGCCACGACGAGACAACCGAGAGTGAGTCTAGTTCTGAGAATACGGGTGAGGGTGAAGACTCGAGTAGCGAAAGCTCTGAGGAGGAAAAGGAGGGTGAGGACAGTGAGGAAAAGAAGGGCCTTACCGCCAAGGGCGCTCAGATTGCTGCTGCTGCTGCACAGGCAACACCAACTGCAGCTGATTCCCAAATCGTTCAAGCGGCAAACAGTTCCTCAGAAAATTACACAGTTATTTTCTTTTCTGTGGGCAATGCCCTTTTTACCAAAAAGACCTGTGGGTAAGTAGCAAAGTCACGCATTCCTTTCTCATCTCTCACGGTTTCTCAGGTTCGACCCATAAGAACGAGTATGACACGTTTCTCCGCCACATCGCGAACAAGAAGAAATGTCCTGTAGAGTTGTCAGATCACATGCGTCGTGACAAGAACGACGTGTTCAACTTGTGGCTGACAAATGGGAAGAGCCTTCACAAGCATTCCGGCTGTAAACCAATGAAGTTTTTCAAGTTGCCCCCTAAATTAAATGGGCGCATAGGCTGACCACAAGCTCTCCACCCCCCACCGTCCTCAACCATCTCAGGGTAGCCGTCGTGATCAAGCGGACCGCCGAGATGGTCAACAAGACTCGGAATGGCCGCGTCGCTGTGAAAGAGCGGGACTTGTTGGATAGGTATGGGAGCCAAGAGAAGGTGGAGAAGCTCAAGTCATTGCTCCGCCAGAAAGGTCTTTGGGAATACGATGATGATTTCCCCAAGGATGAGGAGGAGAAGTGCTCTCACGTCCAAAATGTTTCTGTTTGTCCAACAAGTTTCAATGACCCCCAATCAAATTAGAGCTATAGTTACTCAACTCTTGTACAAACTGCAAACTTGTTTTCCCTTGAAGGAAATTTGGTGGCTTTGTGGGACAGGGAAGAGCATCACGTCTGACAATGTGGTCTCGGAATCCATGTCGCTTGAGGCTAGAGAAAAGAACCCCAGCAACCAGCTCCTTGAGGCTTTGACTGGCGAGTCAGGCGCGCTCCAAGCTGGAATTCTGCCATCCTCCGGGCTTGAGACTCAGGAGGGTGACAAGAACATGTGGGATTCTGTGCTCAAAGCTCAGACTCAAAAAGCAAAGCCTGCTAAAAGGAAAAGGGAAGAAAAAGAAGAGGCTGAGGAGGTGAAACCAAAGACCATGAGGGAGTTTGGCCCCAAGTTGTCTTTCAATCCTCTTCATAAATGCTTTCTATTTCAATCTCAGTTCAAGCGCGGATCAATTTCCATCAACAATAATTTTGACACCTTCACTCTTTCCCAACCCCTTCCATGACTTTGCCCAGGCAGTGCACAGAGCTGGCCGAGTCTGTCCTCGCGCAAGGTGCGTCTGCAAGGAAGATGTCTTTGGCCTTGAAGCATGTCGCGTACTCTGGAGATCTCATGCGCCAGTTGAAGGATCACTCTACCAAGTTGGAGAACATCTATGACAAGTGTCATGACTTGATCACTAGTGCCAAGACGAGTGAAGCCACGTTTGAAAAGCAGGTGAACGAGATCAAGGTTCTTTTTCTCTGGTTTGAGAAAGCCGAGGTGGGGGCTTGGAAAAATTGTTCCACAAAAAGGTTCACAAAGGTTTTGAGGCCCAGTGTACTTTTACTAAACAGTCGAACGGACACCAAAACGTTAGTCAGCCCCGCCCGCTGCTAGGCGGCTGGAGACGCCTTGTTGTCTGGCCTAGCGACCAAAAAGAAGAAAGGTAAAGCCAAGGCCAAGGCAAAAGCAAAGGCTGGCGGTAGCTCAGAGCCTGGCAAAGCTGCGAAGACAGCGTGACATGATTCACATGTCTCTTTTGAGTTTGCCTTGCCTCATCAGCGGGCTCTTGGTGTCATCTCTAAAGTCTAATTTGGTCCCAGTTCATTTCCCCACTTGAAGGAAAAAAACTCAAGATCTTTCCGAAATCTTTCCATCGAGAGACTCTTGCTGTTAGAGAGGCTGGCTGGGGCTTGAATCAAAATGATTCTTTGCTACATCTTGGGGTGTCATCACTTTAGAGAGAGCGCTGCCAAAAAAGAAGCGGACTTGTACCCACTCTTCTTTTTAGAATCCACTTGACATCAGTGTAAGCTGTTGGCGGCTGCCAGGCCTTCATCGTGCCAAAGCTCCGACTCTTGGCTTCGCCTGGGTGTGCGCCAGAGTTCCACTCACCGCGTTCAATTTCCAGGTTCCCCAGGTGCAGGAGCTCCTCTTGGAATCCTTATTTATATGTGCTCCTCTTGGGGGTGTCTATGTATATTCAAATGGAATGTTTGCAGCAGTGGATGATCTGTAGATCAAGACTTCAAGATTACAAGTTCGTTCTGGCAAGGAAGAATCGCCCTCGACAAGCTTTCCAGAGTTTCGAAAAAAATCACCAAGCTGACTTGTTCATACGTGTCTCAGCCTGTCTAGTGAGGGTGTGCTTTCGCAAGCCTTTGACAAAACTCTCGCACATCTATTTCGCAAGCTTTTGACAAAACTCTCCCAAATCTCTTTCACAAGCTCCAACGCCAGGTATGATTGGATCAGGCCAGTCGAACATCAGAACAGTGGTGAGCATAGCTCAAGCTCAACGGCAAGATGCCAAGGTTCCCGACGTAATCGAAGCTTTCGCGTCATTGGGGTCCTATGGAAATCACCCGCAGAACGAGGAGAGGGATCTCCATAGATGGCTGAGGGATCATCACAACATATCACTGGAGACCTATAGCGCCCCAATGCAATTACAGGTCATGCCCTTACTTCTTATACTTTGTGTGAATACTTGGCAAAACTGATTGACGCGCAACCTTCTGCGGAGATTTACATACAGTGTGCTCAGGTGATCGATTCTGAAGAACTGGAGACTGTCAACATACCTGTTTTGCTGCCCCATGAAATCTTAGATTCAGTGGCTAGAGCCGGCCCCGACCAGGTGCAGCTGTTGAAGCGCTGAGTATTGTCCTGCCTTTTTCGCAAAACAAACGAAACAAAACAGTCTTGGTGCGCGTGGCAGTTTATGAAATCGATGTTGGGTGGACAAAGCTCAAAAGCGCTTGGCGAACTATGGGATCATTTCCTTCAATTCCCAGAATGGACTGATCACCCAGTCTTTCTTCGCGAGATTGCCCCTAGACACCGTCTGCCACTCAGCTGTCAGTGGTGAGCAAAAAAAACACAGCCCTAAAGACCCAGAGAGTGTTTGGTAGCTGGTTGACGCAAGGTGCAATCCCTATCACATTTCACGTGGATGGGGCAGAGTTCTATAGAAACTCTGAGTATATGGTGTGGAGCATGAGCTCACTACTGGCAGCCGGGGACGATACTTAGACCAAATTTGTTTCAGGGTTTGTGGTTTCTATCAAAGAGCGTGCTCAGATTCATGATGGTGCCCAGGTTGTGGACATAAAGTTCCCCCCTTGTAATTCTCCCAGTCGCCTGCATGAAGGACAAAGATGCTGCTCGCAGGCAATGACATCGGCAATGACATAGGAAAAAGGTCCTGCCGTTCGCTCTTGTCAACTGAAGTTCTTAGGTCCAGGTGGAGATTTACCGACAAGTCGCGAAGCTACTGGCATGGTCCATGGAATTCGGTGCTTCAGGAACCTACCCAACTTCTGGTTTCTCTGGCGAGGAATTGAGCGACAAGTCTGTGAGGGGTAGGAGGAAAGGTCAACAATTTGACCATCCATGGAGGCCTGTGTTATGTGATGTCCTTTTAGCTAGTCTTCTTCATGCAGCGTCTGGTGAAGCTTTTGCGGGTATGGTTTGCTCAATTGTTGCGTTGGCAGGTGTGCATATTTTTGCTGTCGATATGACGGCAAGGCAAGGGCTGAGACAAATTGTTTTGATCGCTACTACAACTGTATGCGCATTTGTGAATCTTGCTTGGCTGAGAAACCGACCAAGAATTCAAACCCATCAATGTGGTACCATGATTTCCGGGAGTCCGCACCAAGACACTTGACGCGCATCAACGATGCTACTTACAGGAGGACTTGCAAGGTCATTTCACCCTGGCATTGTGTTCCCGGTTGGACTCTGGGAACCTGCTTGCATGATTGGATGCACATGATTTACTTGGGCACCGCAAGAGACCTGATTGCCAGTTTGATAGCGGATATGTTAGAGTGTGGGGTGCTTGGGCCATCCACCATTCCTGTGAAAAAGAGACTACGCCAATTCTCCATCATGATGAACCGCTCCTTCAAGGAAAAAAAGCCCGGGGCTCATCGCATAGTGTATGATTCATTCCTTTTTGCGTTGGGGTGGTTTGGGGGTAAAAGCTTAGGCTCGGAGTGCGAAAGCTCATCTTCACAGAGGCCAATTGTGGTCTCAATGAGGGTTTCCCTGAACTTGGCAGCTCATGGAAAGCTGCCAACGTCAAGATGGTTCTTTGGTATGTTGCCGAAAAGGCAATTGAATACGCAGAGGATAATGCAGCTACTTTGCCGTGTTAGTAGGGAAGCGTTTTTTTGACAATGGAAAACACACCCATGTTTACGCTCCAGAAATCATGGGTACAACGTCCCAGGTATTGCAAGCAGGAGCTTGCTGTGCGTGGGCATTGGTGTCTGCTATATCTCTGATGGACAACGCCGATGTTGTCATGACGCCGTTGGAAGCTGAACAGTTCTATGAACTTGTGATCTCTCACTTAATCCATTGGCAAGGAATTAGGGAAGAATGTGTGCGGACCCATCTTCAAAGATGGCGGGTTCGCCCCAAACACCATGCGCTCGAAGAGACAGCGCAAGCTGTAAAGCGCTACAGGTTGAATCCCCGGTTCACGCAATGCTTTCAAGATGAAGCCTACCTCGCATCTATAAAAAAGATAGCGACCAAGTGTAGCAGCCAAAGTGTTTTGCTTCGCGTGTTTCAGCGTTTGCTGCTTCTGTTGGGGCAGCGCTGGCACGACACTCGAAACGCGGCCCAAGAGTGACAGTCCTCCATGGGAAAAAGGCCGCCCATCATCCAAGCACGGCATGCCGGACAGGCTGGTGGTCAAGGGCAGGTGACAGGAAACATGGTTTTCATGGGGTCTTCCTTTTGTTCAAAAAAGTTGGAGAACTAGAGTGCTGGCCCGGGACATGTTGACAACTTTTCCAAACAGCGGTGCCTTTCTAAGCCACACGGGCACACACACACACGCACCAAAACACGCACGAGGATCGAGCGCGCGCGCAGCAGCGTCCTAAAAAAACGAAAACAAAAACCCTTTGCTGTGAAACTTCCGAGTCATGGTGTGCGCTTCCAAGTCTGGTAAGCACTGATACAAAAGTTGTTTGAAAACCGTGGCACTCATACAAAAGTTGTTTGAAAACCGTGGGCCTACTGCCTAAGAACCGGGGCTGCCGCCAAAGAACCGGGGCTGCCGCCTATGAGCCGGGGCTGCCGCCTAAGAGCCGGGGCTGCCGCCTAAGAGCCGGGGCTGCCGCCTAAGAACCGGGGCTTCCGCCTACAAGCGACAGCTTCCGCCTAGAAAGCTGCCGGGGGGAGCCGCAGTTGCGCAAGGGGCAGCTGGGGATCCTAAGGGTGAAGACCTCCAGGATCCAGTGGTTTATACGTGTACCCTTAGGAATTGGAACCCCAGGCCGGCGTGTGGCACCGCTTTCAGTTCAGTACACAATATCTCAAGTGTGTTTGGCCTCGTGCCAACCCGGGATGAGCCCGCAGAGTGCCTCCCGTGGACCCGTCGAACGGGTGTACGTCGAACGTATCCATTGCCCGGATACAGAGCAGCTCGCAGCGAGCGTAGGTGGCCTAGGCCGTACGTACGATGATTTTTGTCTCATCTTTGGAATTCCAAGCTGGCTCATGCCTTTACGTGACCGCAACGGTCAGAGGTGGCAGCCCTTGGGCAAGCCGTACGTGGTCGCAGCGACCGAAGTCTGTTCAAGGTTCATTGGAACCTGTCGCGAGCTTAGTCCCCCCCTCCTCCCCCTTCCCTTCCCCTTTCTTTCTTTGCTTTCTGGGGTTTTCCTGAATGGAATACTCAGGATCTCCCCTCTCTTTCTTTGGTGTGTCCCTGGACGATTGTTCGTAGCTGGGAACACCATCCTTTCTTTCCTCTCCCTCTCTCTCCCTCTCTCTTTCTTTCCTTCTCTCTTTCCTCTCTTTACCCTCTTCCTTGGGTGTCCCTGGATGCTTTCGTCATAGCTGGGAACCCTTTTCCTCTCTTCCTTTGGTGTGTCCCTGGACGCTTGTGTCGTAGCTGGGAACACCTTCTTCCCCTTTCCTTTCTTCTCTTTCTTTTTCTCTTCTCTCCCTTCCCCTCCCTCCCGTCAGGACCTTAGTGTGGGTTGCTACTAGGGGCTCCTGGCCTTACTACTAGGATGCTACTTTGGTGCTCCTAGGGGTTCCTGGCCTTACTACTAGGCGCAAGGACGCTCTAGGGCAGAGATGCCTCCCCTCGGGGAGGCGTGTGTGTGTAACCCTTGGAATCATAGGTATCCTTTTGGATTTGCTCGGCTTGCTTTCTTATTTTCTAACTTTGTTCCAGCAGGGGGCCCATGGACACTTGGATGGCATGGGCCAACGAAGACCCATCCAAGCTGTCGTGAAAACGTACCTGCTTGGTGCACCTGGGCGCATTATAAGACGCAGCTGGCGGCCACCCTTCTTCCTTTTGTAAAGTGCTAGTGAGCTCCCCAGACTTGCACGCCACGACGTCATCTTGTCGGTTCGTCGTTCGTCTTTTTCCCTTTGGGCCCTACTTCCTCTTGAAGACCTCCAGGATCCAGTGGTTTATACGTGTACCCTTAGGAATTGGAACCCCAGGCCGGCGTGTGGCACCGCTTTCAGTTCAGTACACAATATCTCAAGTGTGTGTGTGTGTGTGTCACCCCCTGTGCCTAAGGGTTCCACCTCACTTTCAGCAGGGGATGGAGACACCTGTATTGCTTCTCCATCAACGAAGCTAGCAATACATGGTGAGGATATCAGTTCCGGACGCGGAACTGCTTTCAACACACCGACTCCAATGATCCACCCTGCTGCTGTTCGTTGTTTCCATGGTTGTTCTCATGATAGACCCCAAAACCTTTTCCCACCGCAGACTTGCAGCCGACTTGCAGCCGCGCTGAGTGTCCGATCGTTGTCGAGTGCATTTGCAAAACAAGGTTAAACCATACTGTTTTTGCTGACCTTTTCGCCTTACCGTTCCCTCGCCTTCCTTCTCGACTTGGGAACTGAGTTAACTGAAAACCAATGTCAGAGTGTGTGTGTGTGTGTCTGTGCGCTCTTTTGTCCAGAAAAAGATGCCCCGTCCGGTATCACAACTGCCGGGACAACCACTCATACCACAGTGATCCTTGGGTTCCCCACAACTTCTCGGCGGGAACCTTCTGAGTAAAAGACAGCACACATGGCCCAAAAATACCCGCACCTCATCTGCGGTCTTGCCGTTGTTCACTTTGGCCCACTCCTGCTGAGTCTTGGGCGGCATAGCATGCAAATTGCTGACGCACGCCAAAGGACAAACAGCATCAGCATGCACTTTCAACTACACATCAATTCATTGAACCATTGAAATCCACCTATATAAAGAGATGCCCCACAGCTTCTTGTGATGAAAGGTGCGCGGCCTCTGGACACAACAGTGACTTTCTCTCTTCTTCTCCAGTCTCCTTGACAAAGTTGGTCTTCTCCTGGTGGCGATACACCTGATCAGGTGATCGGTACAAGTCAAGGGAGCTCCTTCGACAACGTGGAACAACGCTTCGAACATGTTTGACTAGGTTGGAGGCCCTCGCTCTTAGGTTGGAGGCCATTGCTTCTAGGTTGGAGGCCATCCCTCTTAGGTTTGAGGCTATTGCTCTTAGGTTGAAACCTCTGATGGCCTGTCGCCGATCCCGTTGCTTCTGGTTGGAAAACCATCACACTTAGCGGGAGAGCTAACTAAACGCACTTCACCCAATCATGACCCAGACCTAGAAAGCATGATCCATCGGCTGGCCATCCAAATAAAATGCCGGCCTTGGAGTTCTTTCCCAAGGCGGAGATCAACGCTTTGCCTGAGCTGAGATCAAAGCTTTTGCCGAGACTGCCGAAGCTGCTGCCCAAAAGGGGCATACAGACAATCCCCAGTTCGACCACACATTTTGGCACGTATTAGATTAATTGGTCGGTATGAGAAGTTTGGTTGAGACGACTCATCACATGTCCACGACAAAGGCATGTCGGACGGTGGTTCAATCATGTTCAGACCACTCAACCGAAAGTTCTCCACCCAATTCAGGATAACTCGTAGACTCCTAGCAGGGATTTTTCCCCAAAGTCTTGCAGTTGTTTTCCAATTGACCTCACCAGGGGCGGATCCAAAACGAGTTCCTTCTCCCCGGTGGACCTAACGTGGTCGGACTGTCCGGTCCGGCTGGTCTCCAAGTGACACTCCCCATCGCTGAGACCGATCTCCTGGCATGGCGGCAGCGGGTTCACGGTTCACGGTTCGTGCGGGAGTCATCGAACGTGGAGATGCACCGTACCTGAGAATATATATATATATATGTACACTTGTGTAGTAGTGCGACAAATGTGATATCAGGTGTATGGTATCATACTAGCCACATGTCACATGGCGATAACAGGAACCCAAGCACATAATTACTAACTACCCTTTGAGCGATCTTCTCTGCACGTTAGGCCACTGGACAAAGGCATTCACCTCATCTGTGGGAGCCACTGGCCTCGTGGAGGTCCCCATGAGGTCCCACGGTTGCCTTTTCGATTGGGTGGTCTCAAAAACACTATTGGCTTCAGGAGCAAGGACGCTACTAGTAACAAAGGGCATCGCTGCAAGGGGCAACGACGCTACTAGTAGCTCCTGGCGTTACTACTAGCAAGGACGCTACTAGTAACAAGGGACCGCCATGGGCCACCACTACCCTTTTGATCCGGCTTTGGATTATTCCACGTTTTTCCACGTGTCGTGCACCTTCGAAGCCAACTGAAGATGCTCAATGAAGCCATTCTGATGCTTTGTTTCCGGGGCCCCCACTCCACCCACACGGCAACTCTCCATGGCGGTGTCCAACCATGGACCCGACCCAGCACACAAATGACCCGACCCAGGGAAGGCCCAGCCAGCCCAGTCCTTCATGGCTTTCTTGAAGATATCCTGACGGCCGGGTCCCGTCAATGACGTGCCGAGTTGAGTCAGCCGAAAATCGACCAAGGTTGTGTTGGTGGGGATGAAACACCCTAAGTGGATTCAACAACCAGTGCAAGTGCTGAAGCTTTCAAGAGGAGTTCATAATGTGAGAACTCCCAAAAAATATGTTAATTATCGAAGCAGGTTGCATTTATGTGCCGTGCCACTCAAAGGGATATTATTTTGGCATGTTTGGGCCGGAAAAGCTAGTTCACTAATGTTCACTCTATCCACTGTCACTACACCACGCTTGGTAAGACTGCATGTCTGTTGCTTCTGGAAGCACTCTGCGGGTTAGCCCACTTAGTGGCACAAGCAAAATAACCTCAAACAAACCAATACTTCACTGATATTTAAAAATTCTTAAGACATACATATACAATCATATACATACTGTATGTAGTGGCTGACCTACAACAACCGCCGCAACTGCCGCCACTCCCGACACCGCCTGCGTCACAGAACCTCGGCTCTCGTAGGGCACCTCCCATCCCGAACGGGGAGGATCCATGGTGCGGCCTTCCTGGCGCGAATGGATCGGTGGATGATTTGCCACCGCTTCAGACCTGCCACACAAAGACGAGACCCGATTTTGCCCCGAGTGTTTTTCAGCCTGGGTGTTAAGCCTGATTAAGCCTCGATTCGCCTGGGTGATGCTGATTCACCCCCGAGTTTTGTGGTACAGAAATGGCACCCAGCCAAAGCTTCCGAGTGTCCAAAAAACAAAGAGCTTCGGAGACCCCTGCTGTCTGAGCAATGGGAACAGACTACAGACTTGGGGATTGGGATCAAAGCCTGCTCCCCAAAAAGCTTTGGAAAATCATCGTTGGCCCACTGTACCATGGATGTCAAATCCCAACATGAACAAGGAAGTTTGTGATGCTCTCAATTCTCAAACAATGGTGCGTCAGGGCTTTGGTGTTGGCCCACCCACATCCATTTCTGGAGAAATAAACACTGGGCTTTGGAAGAAGACCTTGGTTTCGCACAAAGCCCGATGCCATAGGTTCACACACAGTGTCATCTATTGATGTTCAGTGTTCACTGTGCAACATCCAAAACGCATCCAAAAGGATTTGACCCAGTCATTCACGGTTTCAGGTTCAGCTCTATGATTTCTATGATTTCTATGTTCGTTTCGGGCGTGACCCTCATGCCAGCAGGTGGCAACAGGACTATGGCCCCTTCACTCCTCCATGGCTGACCAAGCAAGGATCTCATCATGTTTGTCTTTGTGCACCACCTGAAATCGGTTGACGTGGCGTGGGAGAAACAAAAACAAAGAAGAGGTGTGTCTTTGTGTCAAGACCACCTGCAACAGGTGTCTTTCTGTTCGGTGGGAGATGGCATGAACAATTCCAGCTGGTTGCAACTGCAATTTGTTCAAGGGTCATGCTGCGACAAACGGAAGGTCTGTACATGCTTCAGCTATAGTATTCCCTCTAGACTGTGTGGCTCATGTTCTTTAAATGTTGTGCATCCATGTACCATCCACTTGAAACAGCTACCTCATTGATCATCAGAAGTCGACCAGGCTGGGGCCTTTTCCTAGGTGAACGGAGCCACCAACGTCCTATATGCCCTACGGCCTATGCATGCGGAGGCAAGAAAAAAAGACACAAGTATCGCGTGATGTAACATATTTTCTTCAGTGTTCAATTGAAATTGCGAAAGCAATCTTTTTCCTTGTGGGGGACCTCCAGCCCTCGGAGTTGCGTTTCTCACCTTCCAGATCTTCTTGGCAGTGTCACAAAGCAGCAAATGATCGCCACCCCTGGCGGAAGGAAAGCGTTGGAGGGCGGGCGAAAGAGGGAGAACTTGATTCAACAAAACAAACTGGGTGATATGGTGTATTTGGTGCATTAGCAAATTCATGGTCAAGAAAAACGATATGGAAAGGTTCAAAGGTATGTCACAAGCTACAAAGGTGCATCTTCTAACAACGTGAGGCTGGCGTTTTCTTCGGGAGGCGACGACTTGTGGCTTGACAACCCTTTTTCACCCAGCCACGACATGAGGCGTCGCCCAGTGCGGCCGCGGCAGGGGAGCGTCACGGCCCGTCAAACATCGTCTAAGACAGAACCCGGGACCTGGTTGGGGGGCACTTGCGGCTAAAGGCTCTGTCACATCTGTTACGTCTTCGCCCCGAAACGGTGTGAAGAAGCCCAGGTGTCAAAAGAACCAGGTGTCAAAACTGAAACAAACACATACTACACCAAGATGTGGCGCCATGTGCACCATTAAAAAAAAAAAAAACAACTCCATACTCTCACTTCTCGCCATCGTCAAGAGATGCAATTCTCCCGGAAAAAAAAAAGAATCGCGCGCCCATCGGTCTTTGTTGGGCCTCTGCGAGAAGACCTGGGGAGATGATGAGACCGTGGCACCAAAACGGATGACAAAATGCTTTTTTGAACACTGGTTGTTTCCCATGTGCCCATTGTCTGCCTGGCTGTGATGAATAGAAGACCAACAACTACCCAGCAGTCTGATGCAGTCTGGGGCGGGCTGTCAAGTCACGCACCCACAAAACACTATATACCCTGGACTTGATGCTGCAAATAGTCCGTGCAAACCCATGCATTACCTCGCTCAGACTCCTACAGTATCTCGCTCTTGAACTCTACATACACCAAAACCACAGGACCTCAGTCTCCCCATCCTTTCTCGCTCACCTGCTCCCATCACTCCCAAAAAGCTCTTCGTCAAGCCGCGCTGGTGCCCTTCTCTGCACCGGTGCGGCCGTAGGTTCCCTCGGCCACGCCAAGACCATCGATGATCACCGCCCAGCTGCGAGAGTCCTCACCGAGGTGCGACGGTGAGATCGGTGAGTGGGAGTAGAACATAGTAGAACCACCCGGCAACATACGAGAGGAGGAGAACCATGGAGAACCACCTATATAGAACCCATAGCTAAGGAGGAGCAAAACATACCATACGTGAGGAGGAGAAGGAGAAGGATTGCCTTCTTCTTGTCCACCTTCTGCTGGCCCTCCGTCTAGAGTCCAAGTCCTTCTGTCAACCCGTCCAACCGTCGCCTTGGTGCGATCCAAGTACTTCCGGTTCGCCACCTGGACTTCCAAGTACTTGCCGTCCGAAGAACGAGGGGCGAAAAGGTGCTCATGCTCCGGAGATCCGATAGTGTTGCGTGTTGTTTTGGTTCGGTTTCATTTCTTCTTGCGTGAGCGAAACACGTGTGTTTCTTTTGGCTTTTGGATGCTTTTGGGGTCCATGCCCCGAGCAGGAACGTGATTCTGGATGATTGGCCAGTTCATGCCATTTCGACAGAGCTGCTTTTTCGTGCTTGTGGTTGCTTGTGAACTGATACATCGTTACATCGTTACACTTCTGACAACTGGCATGGACCCTGAAAGAACCCACAAGCTGCAACTGCGCAAGGCGCCAGGGTGTCTTTGTCACAGCAGCAAAGGTCAACTCGAGCCCGGGGAGCCAACCAAAGCTTCAAGTCACATTGCATCTGAGGTGAACATCCGACTGACATGACACATAGCTGAGTTAACAACAAATGGATGGACATGTTTTTGCTGCCATGGTCTTGCGAGCTGTTTTTGTTGGCCAACGCCGACGTAGCACTCCGTGTCATCCCCATCGCCACATACTACAGTAAGACTAGCAATTTGCAAACACAAATTTAAACTGAATCCGTTGTCGCCCAGGTCTTTCAAGGAAAAAGTATTCTTGCAACTGAAAGCTCCTTTGCTTTCCTTATCTTGGGAGCTTCACCCCGACCCAAGGCCGGCGAGTGGCTGAGCTTGCCCGCTTACCCTGCTATCCCAGCGGCCAGCCGTTGCACGTTCTTCTTGAGGCTCACCTCTCCATGGATCTGAATCTCCTCACATCGACCGTGAGACCATTCCCCTTGTCGCGCGTGACCTCACCTCACGCGTGACAAGGGGGGGACGTGAGTGCTCACCTCACGTTCTTGGCTTGAAACTCCGTCAGCACATGGACGACATCCCCGAATGTTGACCTTCACCACCAGCCATTCAAGTCTTACATACACCTGGCGTAATGGACAAGGGATGACAAAGGTCTGTGAAGATTCAACAAGCCAACCAGATTCAACAAGCCAACCTTCACAAAACCCTGCCTTCATTAGCGACTGCTTCCAAATCTTTCTATTGCAACAGAAGGGGGATGGGTGGCAACATTAATATATAATTGGAAGGGAGTAATCTCCTGTTCAGAGTTCAGACCAAATGGTTTTTAACCACTTGAGCAAAGAAGATCCAACAAGTCGTGGCAAGGATCATCAGGTTGTGGACAAAATTACACTGGCATAGACCAAAACAGAAGCCGAACCCCATAGCTCTGAGAATGCTATTGCAATCTGGCGAAAATGGAGGACTGCATGCTGCGCTGGTGGCTGCCGTCCAACCAACCCGTCGCTCCTTGTAGATGCCCACATTATTCTCATCCCCAATGATCGGCACATCGGCTCGCACCTGCTTTCCGCAGCTGCACCGTTTAGGGCTGCCAACGAAAGAGGTGTGCGCCCCAAGAATGGCCAGGTGCATGACCCCTGATTTACGAAAGAACATACAATAACCCGGTGTTCACTGGGTTGATTCTGGGTGTGGGTTGATTCTCAGGACGTGTTGATCGTTTGACGTACTTATTGGCATGGCATAAGAAGAAAACGATGTACTGTAACATACTGCAACTATTTGGTGGTTATGTCCCACCTGTGACCTCGAGATCTCAAAAGAAAGCAGAGCACAATCGAATGGATCCATGCTTGTCCAATTGTAAACCGATTCACTCCTGCGATCTGCGGACAAAGAAATCCTCCCATCAACACTCTGCCAATCCGCGCGGTGCACCGGCACACCTTGCCATCGGGCATGCCAGGCCACGCTGCAAAACCCTTGAATTTGGGAGCCTCAGAGTGCGCACAACATGAAAGAACACAGCAAAGCAGGTAAAACCAAGAAAGACTATGAGAACTGTCTGTTGATAAGGTTGTTGATAAGGTGCTTGCAAGATCTTGCAACTATTTTGTTGAAGTAACGGACACTCCAACTCTACCATCTGTGCAAAAATATACAATAGGGACCTCCTCACGCCCCTACCGAGACAAGGGTAAGACTTCCACGTCCAAGCCGCAGGGTGTTTGAACTCCGGGCCGAAGTTGAAGGAGGCGCGACCCTTCAAAGACACTGCAGGATAGAGCATCTGACCTGTACCGCTGGCAACACACGCAAACAATTGACTTAAGTTTCACTGAACAAACAAGGATGTAGCAGCCCCTACCTCCTACCTGAAAGCTGGCGACAACCCCGCTCCCCGCTCAGTTGGACAACCGCATGGCTTAGCCGGCTTAGAGTCTGGTCCACCATCCCAAGCATGGGTTCTGATTCAACATTCCGTGCCAACATCTTACATGGGGCCCCAGTCAAGCACCCACCAAATTGAGACACATGCCCAATCGCCTACATATACAACTGTGGCATGCTAACTTGCAACACATGCGTTCTCCATAGTTAGTTGTTCACAAAATGTGTAATCTACGCAGCCTTCAAAATGGGCGGGTGCGTTTGATTTTGGCATGAGTATGCAAACTCAGGGCATTCTATGGAGCAAATCACGCTTGTGGTACTTGAGCAGGTTAGATGGTCAAGCCATGTTAATGTTTTGTTCACGTTGCATGGTGTTCCAACACAAGCTTGGACAGTTGCCGACAATTGCCTTTCAGAATTTGGTTGATAGGAAAAATATTGAAAAAGGTTCATTGTAGCTGCACAATACACGTGTTTGCCCAACAGCTTCGGTCTTGGGATTTCTTGGATTGATGAATTCACTGTGACAACCATGGACTAAATCAATGCAATCTGGTCTGCAAAGCTTGGTTTTGGTTAAGCCACTTAGCAATAAATGTCCCATATTGGACGAATCGAACGTGTTAACCTCCCAACCTCCACCCCCGCAACATCCACAATATGCATCCAGTTCAAACTCAACCAACAGCCTGTCGTTTTTCAAATAGCATGTGTTTTCCATGTTGTTCTTAATTCAATGTGCGCTGAATTTCGTGAAGTCGCACACGTCACAAGTTGCGGCACCCGAAGTTTGCTTGGATGGGTCGACTTGGACAGCCTTACAGCTGAGCATTTTTTGGCTGGATCTTTGCCGGGTGGCTTTGAGACGCAATTTGGCACTGTCCTTCACAGCGAAGCTGGCATTGTCTGGGAGCTTGCCCAGCTTGGTACTGAACCCAACTCTAAGCCTGGATCAGCTATCTTTGGCATCGCCATCATCCGTGAGGGAAAACCGCCAAAGCCACCACCCACATTCGTTGGGCGGCATTGACATGTGGGGTCGGTGCACAATATGGGTGTGTATTTTTTTACCGTAGTCGGGCCGGGAAGTTTGAACAGGTGGTATGATTCGAGGGTATGATTCGGGGTATGATTCGGGGGTATGATTCGAGGGTATGATTCGCAGATGATTCGCAGCTTTGAAGTTGTATTGTTGGATTAGCTGGACTTCCAGCAGTGGGCCCACTCTGCGCCGAGGCAGTAGGCAATCAGCATCTGTTGGATGCTGGGCAGACTAGGCAAATGCACTCTTCCACCAAAGACTCCAGTGGCCCTTTGCAGGCCCCACCAAAGCAACCAGGATGTGGGATGGGTGGGAGACTGTGTGGAGGTGCGTGATTCGGGTATGAATCGGGCATGAATCGGGTGTGATTCGTATGGCCATTAGATTCTGCAAAAGAAGGCGGTCCTTTGGCTCTTCTTCTCAAGGGACAGCACATGGGAACATTATGAGTACCCCTGGGATGTGAGCCTTTGCTCGTCCCACAAGAAGACACAAACAATTTTGGCCAAATTGAGTGCCCATGGATCACACAATTGCAAACGTCATGCACCATTGGCTCGTGGACATCTACAAGGCACAAAGACCAACCAAAAACTTCACCTTAACACCTGGTTCTTACGTGTAACGTTTTGAGGGGTATGATTCGGGGGTATGATTCGAGGTATGATTCGAGGGTATGAATCGCTCAAGTCGAACTTCCAACCACTACATCAGGAAGTACACGCCAAAAAAATACAAACCCATATGATGAAGCTCTATCACCTCACCCAATCAAGCTTCGAACCAACGTAGACCCCGAAAGAAAGTTCCACAGAAGAAAAGCAAGTCGGCCTAATTGAGCCTTTGCGCGCAGAACTTCAAACTCACGAGTCACGCCGTTTAGCATCGTTTAGCTACTAAAAACGAACCAAACGGTGTCTCAGCCTCAGCCGACAGCTCCACTCAGGACAGCCGGGGAGACACCGCAGGACATGACCCAAGCAATTCAGCACTCAGCCGTTCATGAGGCGACCTAGGACCTAAGCAACCCACACCACACACATCTCTACACAACCGGAGAAAAACCAGTCAGAACCTCAGCATTCTTTCAAAGGAGTTGAGCAACCCCTCAAAGGTATATGTATCTTTGGCAAAAACATAAAAACAAAGGGCTGCTTGTCCCAACGTGCCAGTCCGTCCAGTGCTTGTCGCCTTTGGGGATGGTCTCTGGGCCAAAGGAGGGCGACTTCTCCGCATCCCACTCGCCGTTCGAGGCGAACCAGATCCTCGGTTCGCACGGCGCCCGACTCTCCGCTTCGCCCGCTTCGCCCGCTTCGCCCGCTTCGCCCGTGGTGTTCGGCCCGAAGAAAAGGCAGGAGGGTGTGGTGGGTCTCGTGAGTGGAGGACTTGTTGTGGTCAGATGCCCGTCCAGCTGCGGACCTCTCACGGATGTTTCATGAGGTTCATGAAACCATAATATTAAGACCATGGGACCATGGTGGTCGTGGTTGTGGTTGTAGTTGTGATTATGGTTGTTGCTGTTGCTCGTTGCTGTTGTTGTCATTGTCGTTATTAACATGTCTTAGAGAGTGGATACACAAAGCCCACTTTAGTGACTTGCTCGAACCAAGATCAGTGCTTTGTTAAACGTGGAAGACGACGCTTCCGTCCGTCACTTGCCGGCCGTCTTCTCAGAATGGGATGACGGAGGGGTCCATTCGTAGGTTGGCCGAAATCATAAGGTCCTATATTGACAAAGCATACCTATCTTGGAATAAGAAATTTAGGGCGCTTAGACCCCTTGGAGAAACCGTTCCAAGTTGCAATACTTCTCGGAAGCGGTGTTTTGGGAATGGCTCCTGTAAGATCTTTTCACCAGGATCTCGGATCTCCATGAAGTGGATCTCCCCTATCTGGAGACGACCTGCTTTGCAAATCCCCACAGCCTTTGCGAATCCCTAGGTATTTTGGGAATGGCTTTCTGCATGAGTTCACCGATCCAAGTCTCCAACGACGAGTGACAACTCCGGAGTGACAACGAAGAGTGCGCTTGAGCGTTTCGACCACCCACGCGTTTCGACCGTCGTCAGGTGGCATCCTCGAGTCGATGTCGATCGCCACGCCCACGGTGATGTCCTGCTGAAGGTGGCCCTCTGAACAGGGCCAAGAGGGAAAAGGTCGTGTTCGATCGTATTCCATCACATTCCGTGCCATGCCCAAAGGTAGAGTCTATGGGGAAACTCCGTGAAAGCCATTCAGGAGGTTTGATACCCACAGAAGTCCTTCTAAGGCTGCTGAAACTGACCCACCCCGAACAATTGGTGGGAACACCAGATTTTCCAAGGTCTCCAGTCCTTCCCGCATCCCCATTCCTCGGAGAACAACCCCCGTTCTTCGGTTTTGATTTGATGCTTCGACCAAACCTGTCTCGATGAACAAATCCCTCAAAACCTGATTAAGCAATGAGAACAAATTCAACAGGTTTGAGGGGATGAACTGCACGTCGTTCCTGATTGAGTGATCAGGACAGGTCCTACCCGACCGACACCCCCCGGTCCTTCTCCAATTCCATGGGATCGTTCTGCGAGACCGACCAATACCTGCGACCACGGACACGGAGACGTCAAACAAAAAGAAGCATAAACGCACACACACACACACCATTCCTGCACTTGTGGTCTGGAAAGCGGGTCAATACATGCGTCAACAGCACATCACCCCTGACACCCTGGCCCCTGCAATGCCCCTGCAATGCTCTATCAGCAAGCCTACGTAAGAGTGGGGCAGGTCGGGAGCTGATGTAACAAGCGGTTCTTCAGGCACGGCATGAACACAGGATAACATTGGGCGAGGCCAACTGCCAACTTCGGCCGCTTTTTTTCTAGATTCTAGAATCTTGAACCCCCCTTATGCCCCGCCCTATATATAAATGTCAGCCAATCTCAGTATCAGGCTCCTCCTACCTCTACATAACAGCCCCTGTTTGCATGCCACGCGGAGATGTCGCCTGTCCCAGGGTAGCTTGTTTCCACCGTGCCATCCTCAGAAACAGGAAAGCGACCACACATACGTTGTTTATATGTGTATGTATATAATATATATATATATGTATATACATGTTCTTCCCTTATATACTTTTATGCTGTATATATATACATACTCATCTACACTCTTCTTTAAGACGTGAAACAGTGCGAGATTTGCTGAGTGTCGTGATTCATGGCCCGAGTCCTCCCCAAAGCCTGTATTCTCACAACTGGTCAAACGACCACGTGCTTGGAGCCAATCGCAGCCCTTCAACCATCTTCAAGCAACCATGCTATATGCTAACCAAACAAACTAGCCCATTTGTTGACATCTTAGGAAATGCTCTACCGAACCTGCAGTAGCATTTGACCCAGGTGTTCAACCTGTGCGAGATCCAGTCCCACCAATCGATCACCATAAGGTGAAGAGTACTTGAGAGAGGAGGGGGTGAACGAAAGGTAGCAGGCAATCAGAAGTCCATGACGGCGTGAACCGGCGCAGGGGGGGATTTGATCCAGGCCCCCCCCGACGAACAGAATCAACTCTTACAGGACCAAATTCAATGCACAATCCCAACTCCTGATTGTAATACATTTTTGCTAAAGCAAGGAGAACTCAGGTAGCTCAAGCTACCTTTCGTGACTGGTCTTTAAAGAACCATGGCTTCCCTTCCGTGCCACAATTTTGGAATGCACAGACCCGCTAACGACCATCACAGCTGAACGCGTCTGTCTAGATGGACAGCTATGACCATGGACAGCCCCAGAAACAGCATTGAAAAAAATCCCAGACTTCTGATTGCTGAGTCAAATCAGTCCGTTGACAAGTTTTTTGGCAAGGTAAGAAGACCCCCTCTGATGGACTCCATCTTTTCGCATGTGCATTCCTGCAAACCACATTGCCAAGGTCTTTTTGTGCAGAGCTCTCCAATGTCTCTGATTTGCAAATCCGTGTTTCTAGTTCCATGTTGGTCCGATCCCAAAAAGTTGCCGCTTAGCCTCGAAGTGCGTGCTGTCCATCCACTCCCCAGCCATAGTCATCATCACCCACACCCCCGTTGTAGCCCACCGTCTTGGGCGCGATGATAAACCTGACAGCAGGCATAGTCATTGGGTGTTCATGGTCTATCCCAAACTATTCCTATAGAGAATGGTGATGTTGACGATGCCTCAAGTGTTGAAGGAGTAGGGGGCAATTATAGCTCAAACCAAGACCACTGTTTTGTAGGTTGCTGGCGGGTCACTGGTTGGAGAGGAAGCCCACTTGTGCCGATCGGCAGCCACGAAGCAGCTCCACCTCGAAGTAGTAGCCTCGAAAGTTCAACACATTACATTATTTTTCTTAACCGTGCCCTCATAGGTACAGGTCACCTACTGAGACAAAACGGTAAAATCCTGCCACCCAGCACCTAGTTCGGCCGTTCTGAACTCCCCGGTTGTAATGGTGGACTTCTTGACCACCAGGGTGTATCCGAGGCGGTGTGCAAAGCTTCTACTCTTCAACAATTCAATCAACTATACTAGGCATGCCTCATGACATTTACAGAGCCTTTGCTATGTCGAGTCCGTTGTGTCAAGAGGCCACGGCAAATGAGACGAAACATATGAATCCGTTTCCGTTGGAGGGTCTCTGTATACCTGTGATGGCAAACCCACCTGTTTTTGCATCAAAATATCACTGAAACTGAGCTTCTCTCCAAGAGTCAATCAAACTCAGTTCAGCCCTTGAGTTCAGCCGTCATGTCTACTCCCCTAACAATCAGCCAAGCCTCTGAGTTCAGGATGCAGCATATTATCTAGCAAAACGGTGGACAGCGTGGGAATTGCCACAAAGTCTGTTATATGATATTTTATTATCCCCTTTGCGGTAACTTAAATGAAACCTTAAGATGCCGCATCTGCGCGTGTGTGAGGTGAAGCATCCTAAAGACCTTGATAGCCTGGTAGTACAAACAGTGGGTGAGGTACCCTGGCATGGAAAGACATCATCTTGATGCACACACACACATGCCCACAAACCACCCCAAAACAGTTCAAAAAGTGTGCTCAAACTCAAAGAAAACTCTCACTTGACCAACCATACTGTTGTGTTGGAAGGACAAAACAAGATTGAATCCTCTTGGACAACTTGGGCGAATGCCCTTTATATAAGCATGTTAAACGTGTCCTGAACATAGATCAAACTGGTTTATCTTGTCAGCCCAACACCAGCTGAACACTGGAAACGAAAGATTTTCCGACCCACTATTTGCAGAGAAGTGGACTTCACTAGCCCAACCACCCAACCATGGTGGCGCCCATACCAAAGCCAGGGCACGGCCCTTCTTCTGCGGCAAGTCTGGGAAGCCTACCCTGAGGGCAGAGCAACAATATGAAGCATTCTCAAAATGACGTGGGCAAAATTCCTCCAATTGAGAGACTGTATCGCTTTTCAGGCTGAGTCAAGATCGGCCTCAGCTTGAATCCAAAACTTGCATTGTAACATCTTGGGTGCTGTGGCGAAATATGTCGACAAGGATCCAAAACAAAGCTAGATTTGATTGCCACTTAAGTTACAGTATATAAGTATAGACATGGAAGTGTGAACGGATGCATGGGGCCTTCCAGCTCAGGCCCCAAGCAGAGCCTTTCGTAGCTGATCACTGATCAGCGTGCTTTTCGGCTCGCGCCACCGGACTCCAACGGGATCGGCCCCCCCCCCCCCAATGGGGGTGTGCTCCGTTCGGACCCCAGCGGCGTGATCCACTCGGCGGCGCAGTCGGAGCTCATGCCACGCAGCAGCCGGGGCTGAGAGACGCCCACGTCGGTGAGCGAGGTATTGGCCAAGGCCACCTGCGCTGGTCGGTCGGTGCGTGGTCGGTCCACACGGTCCACACGGTGCGAGGACTCCACGTCGGTTTTGCGGATGAATCCCGGTGCATGTGGGCAAAACCTGGCTTGGAGGATAAAAGGAACCTGCAGTTGTCATTGTCATCATCCATCTGACAGCAAGTTAAGACGAAGCCACTGACAGCCACCTTTGCCAGTTGCAAACCCTGTGTTTAGGTCTCTGAAACAAGTTTGGGTCTCTGAAAAGATAAGTTCTGAAGCAGCAGTGGAGTTCCGAATCCTTCTGAAGAGTGGAGCGTCTCTGGGCTTTGGGGGTGCTCCAAGAGTCACTCTGAATGGTTCCCAAACTTTTTGTTGGAAAGGAGGCAACTAGACCAGCACCTGCACACAAAATTGCACGAAACAGTTTGAGTGTGCCACACGTTCCTCCTTTGAAGTGCGCAGGGAATGACTTCTGCTTAAAACTGCTGGACAACGGCTTTCAGGACCTCCCTAGTATCAGGCCTTTTGTTGAAAGTTTGTCATGCCTCCATGTTTTCTCTCACAAACCTTCTGTTACCACTTGAACAACGGCCACTGGAGCGGCCTCGACCAGCTCCCGAAGTTCGCGATCATCGTACTCCTGGAGCACATGAGCGTACTTGTCCAGCACAGCCAGTCTTGATCCTCGCAACCAGAGCGTTTGTCCCATGTTTCGGGCCACGGTCTCCCGAAAGACGCCCCGTGTAGTTTGGAGCGAGAAGAGAAATTTGGACCAACACCCATCTTCTCTATTGTTTGGTTGATACGGGGGCGACGGAGGATTCGTCTCCCCTCCACTGGAAGATGTCTGGGCAAAAATGATCAAACCTGATGTGTGGATATGTGTGGATGCTTTAGAGACCTGCTCCCTAGCAAGATGGGTCATCGACCCAGCTGCCCCGCAGGACACGCAGCAGGTCGGTCCATGGATTGGCCAGTTCGTCGATACCTTGAGTTCTCGAAGCGATTCAAAGGAGTTCAAAGCTGCTGAACCTGCCTCAAAACTAAGGATGTATATATATATATTGTATATATGTACTTTGTATGTATAAATTAAGAATTCAGAATATATAGCTATATACCGATATATATATATATATGTGATTGTGTGTGTACTGTATACTTTGCGTACTTTGGGTACTTTGGGTATATATATATATATCACCAGGGCCCAGTGGATGACAGTTAGGTTCCAGGCCTTTCTCTAGAATAGTGATAAATGTTGACCGATTGTCACAGGTCATGGGACAAACCCAAGACAGAAACCGATCCGATCTTTGGAGGGGTCATTTGTTGAAAATCAGAAAAGGAGAGCCGACGAGTGTCCTGCAATGCCCCCTGAGTCGGTGGCGGCAAAGGTGGTGCGCAAGCGGACGTCCTTCCTGGGCGCAAGCGAATTTGATTGGCAGAATGGAAGAAAAATATGAATTCCAACATGACCTGGAAAATACATAAATTAAACAATTATTTGATATCATTGTCGTCTGTCTAGAATGTGTTGGCCAAGGCAGAACTCCACTCTGGAGTTTACCCGCGGGTACCCTTGAAGAATATGAAGAATCAACCTTTCATTGGACAAGTGGTGACCAGATCGACACAGCTCGAACTAGGAGAGCCTAGACAAGTCCTCACGCAGCGCAACCTAAAAAGACTCAATTACCAACGCTGCAACCACTTCGTTTGGCTTTCGCTGACCTTCTCACGGAAAAGGTATGCTCTTTCGGCAAAAGGTTGGGAGCCATACACGCACAGAGCCACACACGCACGCGCGCGTTTCTCGAATTTCGGACATTGGAGCTGGTTCAGTCCAGTGGGCTAAAGCGGTTAAACCCGCCCAGCTCGCGCTTCTGCTACCCAGAAATCTGGAGCCTCCCCTGCAAAAAAGGAGACGGGCGGATACGAACGGCCACAGAAAAACTGAACTTGTCAGTCACGGTTGCACTGCCGATGGAATCGACACCGCCAGACACTGGTCGAAACAGAATGGTGGGTCCTGACCCCCCTCCAGTCCGTCGAGAAGCCTGGAGCCTGGGGATCAGCCCGGATGAATTCCCCACAGATCCACTAATGCCGCAACTTGTTTGAGTCTACACGTGTTTGACCAAAAACAAGGCAACCAAAAGGCCAAACGGTTGAATTTGAGAAACATCCAAAGGTCAGGACGTTTATTTTCGCAGGGTCCATGTTCGGAACCTTTGGTGTCGTTGAACAACACCGGTGTCGAGAAGGAAAAAAACGTCAGCGTGTCCCCATGCGTCAAGGATCAAGACCAAGTAGGAGTCTCCATATTGGTACGCACTGAGGACTCCTCTATAGTCGTTCATTACCTCAGCCGAACGCAACGGTTGCGTTGACATGGGTTGACCAGACCACATGATGTCTTCTTCTGTAAAATAAAGGGAAAACATGTGCTTAGCTTTGTGATGCTTTGTGTCTTTCTGCTGGGCTGTGTGTGTGTGTCTCTTCATGGTGTGTTTCTACAACGCTTCTGCCCGACTTTCCTTTCAAACATCGGTCAGCTGCGTCAGCTCAGCTGACCGCCTCATGCGGATGAATCGAGTCACGGTTTCGTGGTCCCCGTCCAACAGTCAGTCTTCTCGAGTTTGGGCCTGGCTATGGGGGGAAATTTCACGTGGGAAACATCCGCCAGTTGAACATGTTTGAACTGTTGTGTGTGCAAATGCAAATGTGTCAAGTCTTCAAACTTGGAGGAGAACTATTTGCCCGGTCGGGCAAACTTTTATTGGTTCTCGCATAAATCTCTGACCTCGCCTTGCAACCTGGTGAACATCTGTCAGTTTCAGCGAAAGCTTGGGACATCTGACACCGACTCGTTGTCACCCCAAAATCCGCCGGCCTTGGGGCACGGCGTGTTTTGGGTAGTTGGTTTTTTGTTAGTTCTTTGTTAAGCTATGTCTTGTCTGTTTTAGTGCTCCCCCGGGCGGATTTTTGAACTGTCTAACCTGACCCCCCCCC